TACAACGCTTCCGTACATGGCTTGCGCCGTGTAATATATGGGTTAGAAGAAAATCTATAGTCATTAGTAGTGTATGAATAAATCAGTATGGTTGCTTTAGTAAAACTAACGCGTTCCGTGAAAAATGGTGGACGAAGGCGTTCTAATGATTACCAGGGGTTTACGAGTGCGATTAGCATAAAAAATCACCGTGTATTTAGAACATGAAGGCGCGTATTTCCCGAATTCATTTGGAGGTTATGTGATACCGGTAATAGAGTAGTCAATTTGAAAAAATGGTAATTGCAGTACGTGATCGGTACTGTCTTTTCGTGGACGATTGAAAGGAGGGTAATGGTTTTTAGGTAGTATTTATTTGTCATTATGACGTCCATTTCAGGCCACCTAGAAAAATGTTGTCGCTTGCTTTTGTTTTAATGGACTGCCGGATGGATGGAATAATTTTTTGTGTGTTTTCTAAATCATTCGTTATTGTATTCTTAGGAACATGCGTACTAGTCCATTACGTTCCCGTGCGTTATATCTATAAATGATCTATTCCAAAATTATCATCACTATGCTGATAATTTTAGACCACGTATCCTAAAATTACTAAAAAAGGGCTAATCTTTTCTAAAAGTTCGTAAATAACAGTAGATTGTAAATTGTCTACTTTATAGTCCTTTAATCATGAGTACACGAATTAAGTACAAACTCAGTTTGTAATATTCGTAAAATTGCCATGTTCAGTCAACCAAGACGTTTGTAACAGAGAAACATCGTAATATGGGGAGCTCATCTTATTATTAATATTATAAACGCGAAAGTAAAAAAGAAAAAACTACTGAACGGATAAAGCTTTACAGTAATATAACTTATACATCAAAAAACACATAGGCTATAAATTTTATGAGAATGAAACCGCAGGCAGAGCTAGTATTAAATAATATTGTGAACCCACATATCCCGTTTATATAAAGTGTACAATTTTGAAATATCTGACTGTTAACTTAATAAGTAAATAAAGAAAATGAATTGTTACGATATAACCATATCATTCCAAGTACAGAGATCTCTAAATTTCATTCACAAAAGACATCTCAAACCCATCTCTATACGCTGGCTTAATTCTGACTCCATTCAAGTTTGACACATCGATACCTATCATTGAATACAAAGAAACCCCATTGATCTGACATATACGCATTCAAGATTTCACAATAGGGTCTTTGTCACTTTTTTGCAAGTTCACGATGATTTGTTATGCGCGCCACTTTTTCGCCGCGCCATTTTTGGTGGGCCGTGCTCGGTTGGAGGAATTTTATATAACAATTTGCAGCATTGAACAAGTAAATGAAGTCTTGTCAAGTAATATATCTGCTTGAATCTCTTCATTTAGTCATCTTGTGCAAATAAATGTTATATATTCACGATTGCAATCGCAGATAAGGTGGTCAGAGGCATTATTAACTGTTGATGTCATGATGCACTTAATAATTAACATGTCCACTTTCCGCTGAGTGTATTTGAATCCAAAATGACTGGAGATGAGAATACCAGAGATTTTTAAATTCTGTCTTCTTTAATCGTATACCTGAAGCATTAGCATGAAGTCAGGTCAGTTAACCCTTTGTGATGAATTTACCATCTAGTTTCCCGAGCGAACTACGTGGGCATTACTAGTTACAGAGCCACATGTTTAAGTTTTTTATGGCATAGGAGACAAACACGCTTGGCGTTCCTGATGGTAAGTGACTACCGCCATGAGCACCCGTAACACCAGGGGAATTGAATATATTCAAACATAACATGTATTATTTTTTTCCCATTATTTGGGGTTGACGCAAATAATGGGAAAAAATAATACATGTTTAATACAGGATAAAGGCAAGACACTGATGATGATTGAAAAAACTCAACCAAGGCATCTTCAGGATTAGATTTCTATTGATGATGCTATAGCGTTGGTGGTCTTTTAAGAAGAAATAAGGTCTTTTCTTTAAGATTTCAATATCGTTAGTTCGGAAATACAATAGCTGGAAGGCTTTGTTGCCATTTAAACTGCATAAAATAATTCACAGGCATCAGCTTGTTCGCTATTTAAATTGTTATCGTTACATTATTATTAACTGTAATAATACTAGAAGTGAACTGGTACAGTCAGCTTCATAAAAATGAAAGTGTCAATAACTTAAATTATCGTATGGGATGCAAATTGAATTTTATGTACACTGTTAGAGCAACATTGTTGTAAACTTATATTGTACAATGTAATAAACCATTATGTGAAAGTAAGTAACGATTCAAAGTTATCTGTATAGTGTATTTTAACAATATTACTTTCTATTTTTATGTATTTTATATAAAAATTGAATCTGTTGTCTTTATCGACTTCATTTTTTATAATTATATAATACTAGCTGTGACCGCGGTTTCACCCGAAAGAAATTAAGCCAATGTGTTATTCTGATGTCGGCTATATTACTGAAATTTCCATTAAAATCCGTTCTGTAGTTTTTGTGTGAAAGAATAACAAACTTCCATTCATACATTGGTATTCAGAAACTTTGCGTTTATAATATTAATAAGATATATATACTAGATTTTACCTGCTACTTCGTTTGCGAGGATTTTTACTTTATTTTATTATTAAAATAAATAATATTTCTAAAATAAAATTGGCTTTAGTTACTCCTTATAACATTAGATCTCTAAAAAAAAATCGTTTCAGCCATTTCAGACATAGCAAGAATAGATAAACACAGAGACATTTTGATATATATACCGATGTTAATTTGAAATTATAAACACACTTTAATTTAATTTACTAGTATAATAGAGCTGCCAAGATAGAGTTTGTACGAAGACATCTAATAGAGTATCTACCACTATTTCATCTTTCCTACTTTTATACAAAAATAATAATAATACTTGCTTTGCGACTTAACTTTCTACAAAATCAAATTTAAAAAAACTATATTGAAAAGTTTTTAATAGTTTTATATTTTTATGTAGCTGACTGTACTGTGGGTATGAACTGTACATTATCATAAAGAGACCGATCAATTGACCTCTTAATTCTAGTGATAATAAATATGCCAATTGGATGGCAATCGATTCGAGTCGTTATTGTGTTGTGACAGTCAAATCTAGGGACTTGTTACTTCCGTTATGTGTACTGTTTTGGATACTAAAATGTTTATATGAGTAACTAACTTCGGCCCGCGGCTTCGCTCGCGTTAATTTATCCCCTTAGGGGTGGGATTTATCAAAATCTCTTCTTTGCGGATACCTACGTCATACTCTATCCGTCCAGTGGTTTGTGCTGCGCGTTGATAGATCACTATGTCAGTCACCTTTGAGTTATATATATTTAGATTAATAATTAATGTATAGGTCTTAAATAATTTTCTTAAACGTTTTGTATGTGGCTGGCAACAAAATTATTTCAGATTTTGTTAAATTCCTGGTGCCATGATGAGCTAACTGACCTGTTCTGTTATTCATCTTATCATCTTCCACTGGTACCCCGCCGCGAATATCGTTAGTGCAGACGGGGGCACGATTCCATTATCATCCATAAAAAAAACTAGTTAAAAAGGGAGGTAGTGTATTGTTAGTAATGTGGATTAAAAACCCCGTGGTTTACAAAATCTATCTACATATTCTTATCTTTATTGTCTAAAATTTTTTTTTTTTACAAATACAAATACTTAAGAAGTCCCTGAATTCTTACGTATAGAAAATACCTGTGTTTCAGAAGTCAGTGTCCTCTTCCATATTGTATTATTATTACCATTCTTCATTGCGAATTTGCCATGGTGGGTTAAATCACCAGACGTCATACTCATCTTATCATCCTCCACTGGTGCCCGTCATCGTATACCATAACACAGGCGCGAGATCCATAAAAAAACTAGTCAATAATGGAGGAAAGGGGATTGTTAATAATGTGGATTAATTACGCCATTGATATCAGGTTGACTATCATGTTAAATTCCTGATGAATTTACCACAATCTGCTAATTGACCTGACCTCATACTCATCTTATCATCCTCCACTGGTGCACCGCCAGCGTACACCGTTAGCACACGCGGGTGCACCATTCCATTATCATCCATAAAAAAACAAAACTACCAATAATAAAATTAAAATCACTCTGTTGTTTGTACCCAGTATTCGTCTCAAGATCCTGTTTAAATTGAAAGTGTAATAAACCCCTAATGTATCTCTACATTCACATAGCCTAAACAACCAATCAGAGACGAGAACTAGCCGGGAATACGTAATGACGTAACGTGGTGTTCGAAAATCGAAATTTCAAAACAGTTCGCCGCGGTGTACCGGGCTCTGCGCATGATTCGTGTATAGTGTTGTTCCTAATAGCATTTGATCGATATAAATTACGTGACTCGTAAATTTTAATAATATTTTTTAATGACAATTAAAGTATCGATACTTGCATTATTATTATATTTTTGTGTTTAGAATTAATAAAATTGATTTTATTGTTACTGTGTGATTAATATATTTGGATTATTGTGATTTATTGATGTAATAACAATGAAAATATATTATTGGATTGCTGGTTGGTTTTGGAAGATAGTAATTATTTTTTATAGATTACTTTAAAAAATTCAATTGTTATTTTACAAATTAAGTTGTAAATTTTAAATTATACTTCTAAATATTAATTAATGAAAAAAAAATTGATTGGCTTTGGGAAATAGCGCTCTGAATGTTATGTTTATTTATAATTTAATTTTATTATTAATTATAAAAATACAAATTTTAATTATTATTATTGTATTTCTACAATTTACAATATCTTATTTATCTTCTACATAATATTATTATAGTAGGTATATGAATATATATTTGTAAGAGATAATGTTATAAATGTAATTCAAGAAATGTCTTCATTCTAATATTGTTTTATTATATTAAATATTTTTTAAAATAATATTCCTTTGTAATTTTAGATGTCCAGCAGTTTAATATTCTAATTTATTTGTTACAGGAACAATGCCCGATAGAACAGTGTAGTGACCGAAGTTTAGTGAAACCATAAAAAGTGTCAGTGATGTGCAGGTGCCATTTTAGTGCAGTGTATCTTATCGATAGATACCGATAGTGTTGTGCCACGATGCTGCCATCCCAAGCACAAGTTGTGCCTTGTGTGTTTATCTGTTTGTTGCTGCAATACTGCGTTGAAAGTCAACAGGAGATTCTTATTGAGGAGTCATGTGAGTAGTTATTATTTTAAATTAAATAGTTTATTTTAAATCATATATGTAATAATTTTGGCAAGTACAATTGGGTAAAAGAAATATTGAGAAATTATTTGTTATTTTCTTTTTTCCGGGGTTTCCTAGGTCCAAGATAAACATGCGTATAGTAGCAGGTTTAAGAAAAGTATGTACCTACAACATAAACAATAGGTATATAATAAAAAATGCAAATTGAATACCATTATTTTAAAAAATAAATTTTACCATTATATAGTCATCCTTCTTAATTTTATTTCGAAATACAATTTAAACAAATAAGACAAAATATAATTCCGACTTAAGCGCATAAAAACAGTTTTGTGTTTAAACTTAAACGTACTGTTTTGGCTTCGTCGCAGGTAAGAAAGACTTCTAACTACTGTCTTATTTGTTTACATTTGGTATTAAAGCTAAACGAAGCAGACGAGCTTTGAATGTTTGTTTTGCTTACCTTAAAATGTGTTTATTAAGATACTAACTGCGCCCGCGGTTTCTCGCGCGTGAAGTTTATAGCGGATATGTCATTTTGATGTAAAAACTATGTTATTGTAAAGTTTCATTAAAATTCATTCAGTAGTTTTTGCGTGAAAGAGTAACAAACATCCATCCATCCACACAAACATACTTCCGCGTTTCTAATATTAATAAGATACTAACATATTATACATACGTCCCATACTAATAGTAATAATATGTGATTTTATCAATACTGCTGCAACTACTCAGTACTTTGTTACATATTTATTTCGTAATTAATCCTTTATTTTTTTTAATTAATATTGGTGAATTTTTACTTTACACTTATTGTGATTCGGCGAAGTTAAACAACAATGATTCACTAGCAAATATCTTAAGTAATACATTTATTTTCATACAATTAAATATACATAAACAAACTTTATTTTGTAAAAAAGAAATCAACTTAAAATAGCACCAATAAGTAAATGGCATACGAATAAATATAATTTTACTTTATAATGAACAAAAAATCGTAAATTTTATTGTCATCGCTTTTGTCTATAAAATTATTTGTCATTTCCTGTAACGTAATAGGTATTAAAAATGTCTCTGAGAAATTGCAATGGTTTTCCCTAATATATATTAATAGCTCAGTTAACCTCGAAAATAAAATAAAAGAACCTGGGTACTTGAAATTTAACGTTCAACTTTATCCTTTCATTTGTCCATTTCACGCCTAAGGGGGAACATAGCCCGGATTTCACAAATTACCTCTTACGTAACGGACGACAGAACTCGGCGTTTGAAATTCGAACGTTTTATTCGAGCGGGGAATAGAGTCAGATTATTACTGGGTTGTGTATAACTTGATATCGATATTGATAATGCACATCACTATTTTCTATCTATATATATATATATATATATCTAATTCGTCCCTACATGCTAGAACCTGCTACTTTTACAGTCAGCCGCTTCCCTTGCCACTCGCGCTGCCGGAAATATTGCTGAGAGGGCTGAATGTAAAATCACGCTACCACTTGCGCTGCTAAACCTTTGACTCGCGCACGAAAAACCAACAATCTTGGGAGCGCCGGGCATTGCGAGTAGCAGCGCCAATGACATGGGAAGTGTTTCCACTACTATTTACACTCTCGCGCTGCTCACTTACCTGCCCACTCGGGCAGAGTGTAAATTGGGCATAAGTGGCCTAGGACAGTAATGCTACAGAGGAGCTTCCACCTGTGTACACTTGTGGAATGAACTGCCTTCCGAGAGATTTTTCGAGAGACTACAGCATGGGGTTTTTCAAGAAGAGTATATTAAGGTTATTTAAGGGTCAACAACGCGCACATGTCACCCTTGGTGTCTGCGTTCATATCGAGTTAGTGACTGGTGCTAGTAAAGGCACAAGTGAATTATTACTTATAATTTTAAAATTGTACGTTTATTAGATCGTTTTTTGAGAAGGAATTTCTTAAAGAATACTATTGTTTCTTAAGGGTTGGCAACATGTACGTGACACCCCTAGTACTTCAGGCGTCCATAGCGAACGGTAACTCTTTACCATCAGATGGTCTATATACCTGATTCTACCATTGTAGAAAAAAAAAGTTAAATGTGCATGCCGTTATGCGTATTGTGACCAGCACTTTATTGTAGAAACCATTAAAGTTATATTTAGAAATGAGTATACATAATAGTTTTATATAAATAATGTATGTCTGTTCATCAGTCGTTTTGCCGATTAATGGTAACACTTAATCGATAAATCGACCGATGCCTGATGAAGTAAAAATATATTGTATTTTGAAATATAATCATTTAATTTGAAAATAAGTGTTCATATTAATATTATGAATACAAAGGCATTTTTATCTGTCTGTCTGTCAGCTTTTACGAGCAAACGCTGGAATATTTAGAGGCTATATTATGAGAAAAAAATATCCTGTAAAGGGGTGAATAGGGGAAGAAAGTTTGCTTAGCGGATGTCGCCGGTAACAGCAAATTTATAATAATTAAATTATAATATAAATTATAAATGTAAATGTTATTTAAAAATACATCATTCTCTTTATAATATTAATGCGTAAAATTATTATTAATAATACAAGTATCAAATAAACGGTTAATTACTTAAGTAATAAGAAAAAATATATTAGAAAATATTTATATAAGAAGAGTGTGGTTGATTCCCTATTACCTTCTGTTTATTATTCAATTGCTAATAGGTAGTATTTATTTATATATTATATGCCTAGGGGTTTTACTAAATGTAATGTTTTATTAATGTTTTACTACTAATGCTATCCTTGTACCAAAATAATTACATATATTCTTCTAATTCAGATAACATTAGTTAAAAAGAAAAGCAATTAAGTATAAATAAGTTTTCTGTTTGTACTGTAGAAAAATTACATACAAAAATTTGTTTCTATGTAAGATTTAGGAGAAATAAATCTTGAAGTACATGTAATATTTTAGTTTATAAACTTACAACTGTGACCTTCTAGCTTATTATATTACTAAAGAATTGACTTCTACAACTAGAAGATAAGGTAAATAAAAATATAAATGATCATTGTTGAAATAATATATATAATATGAATATGAGCACTTTTAATTTTCCATATTTTTTATTCTACCACTCATACGGAACGTAGACTCATCACAAGAAGAATGAGCAAGAAACTTGCGTGTTACTCTTTTCAAATAATAATGTTGTTCAGACAAACATTTAGTGTGTATACAAACTGCCATATGTATATATATGAACTAGCTTTTGCCCACGGCTTCGCTCACGATAATTTATCCCCTTAGGGATGGAATTTATCAAGATCCTTTCTTGGGGGATGCCTACGTCATAACCTGCATGCCAAATTTCAGCCCGATCCGTCCAGTAGTTTGGGCTGTGCGTTGATAGATCACTATGTCAGTCACCTTTGAGTTATATATATTTAGATTTTGTGTGTTTACAGACTGCCAACTTTGCTAAAGAGCTTGATTTACTTATGTCAACTAAACTATGACATAATAAATAATGTCAACTAACTTTGCTAAAGTTGTAATAAGTAAATCAATAGTTATTTGAATTACAAAAAATTCTGGAATAAAAAAAAACAAAATATTTATATACAAAATATAAATATAAAAACACGCATAAAAAATAATATGATGACACGGTGTCACTTTCAAGTGACGCAATCGTAACACTGGTATCTTTTCACATTCAGTAGCTGCCTACGTCTTATGACACAGTTCAATTGGTCACCCACGTTGGTTTTCCCAATCAAAACCATACTATCAAATGTTATACACATTTTATTTGATACTAGCTGTCCCGCGCAACTTCGTCTGCATTATACTTATCATTATATTGCTATTTCTCCAAATTCACATAATATCCGTTTAAATTATAGCCTATATGTATAGCCCCCCTACCCCTTCCCCCCACCCAAGGTAACAAACTACAACACTTTCACATTGCTAATATTAATAATAACTAGCTGTGGCTTTTTTTTATTTTTATGTTTTCTTTATATATTCCACTTATTGTCTAATAAAATATAGAATGAATGAGAAGAATGATATAAGAATAAAAAATAGTTAGCAGCCAATGTAACATGTCATTTAGACCTCCACGCCCGCTTCCCCCTGGAAATCATCGTGATAAATTCCTGGTGACATTTCTATAATGGATTAACTTACCTAAGCTCATGCTCATCTTATCAACCTCCACTGTTGCCTCGCTATGGTAAAGCGATAGCTCAGGCGGGATCACCATTCTAATATTATGAATAAAAACAAACAAAATATATTTTTTATAATATCATCATCTGCTTCTTCCTATTTATTTGCGGTTGACGTACTATATTTTTCTCTTCCATTCATCCCTGTTCGCAGTCATATTGTTATTTCCTCCCTTTCTTACCATATCATCTTTCACACAGTCCATCCTTCTCTTTCGTTCTTCCTCTGTTCTTATAACCGTCCACATTCATATGTAACACCTTCCTTAAGATATGATCATCTTTTTTTTATAACAATCGATGTAAATATAGGATAAAGGCTATAGTATAAGATCTGGTAAAGTAAATATCGGTTTATCGTTTTCACCTGTTCTTGTAGTAGTCCTACCTGAAATTATTTCAAATCATTATTATTATTCGCTTAATTATAACAGTAACTAAATGCGTGTAAACCCACCTTTTATAATAAAACGGCCTTAACCTTGTCACGCCCGCATACAATTTCCTTATTTTAAAGCCGATTGTTAATTAAATTAACTTTGTTACATTAGTTAATGCTTTAATAACGCGAATAAAGGAAATTAATATTAAATACGTATGGATAAAGGACTATTCTACAATACCTTATATGGTGGAGATATTGTAATTACTATTAGCCCATCGTGATGAAATCACTTGGTTTCTAGAGGGAACCGCGTGGAGATTAAAATGATATGGTACATTGGCATTTATAATATATATATATATAATAATAATAATAATAATAAT